AAACAACTTTTTTACTTGTTTGCATTTATGAAACTACATCTATCAGCTCTATCAGCAGGCTAAGTAAGGCAATTAGCCTATACCACCCTCTTCATTAGGGCCAGATCCAAAATCCATTAGTGACTGTGAAGAGCCTCCTATTGACTTTGTGAGGCTGTGGATCAGTTTATGAGTGTGTGCCTAAAGCAAGATGAACATGCCATCTGTTGTTTTCTCTGATGGTCTGATTTCTATTCTCTATCCATTCCTTTAGAATTTTTTGTGGGTGTCTTTTCTTTTTTTCACTTTTTGGCATTTTCTTTTTTACCATCTACAATAGCACTCACAGTAATTCTTCACTACCTCTGTAAATTAAAAAGGTACAGGATGTTTCCCTTTCTCTAGTTTCATTTCAGGTAATATTTTCAGGTTACAGCTCGCTTGCTTTTTGTTTGTTAAATAGCCACATACTACTGTATGAGATCAAGCAAACGGCAACACACTCTTCTCTCCTACAAATATGAAAGGACACTGGTTTTGGTTGTTATAAAAACAGCAACAAAAAGTAATTGGCTAAATTTGGTCAGTTTGCAGGTTTAACAGAAGTGCTATTTAATTCTATTCTAAGCAATACTGCTGTTTCGGTAGGCTTTTTTGCAAGGAAATTTTATTGCTGAGAGCTTTACTATTTAACTGATACATTACCAAGATAACAGGAATGAAAGAGAAAATAAATAAAAAAAGAAGAAAGGGAAGGAAATTTTGCCCGTGGGGTGATGGAGGTGGTGGTGGTGGGGGGGGGGGACACCCGGTTTGGCACAGTCCCGCCGGTACCCGGCCTTGGGGTGCCCTCACCCTGCCACCCCCCTCAGCTCCCACCCCTTCCCCAGGTGTGTAAATCTCTTCTTTTATGTTAAAAAAAGAGAGAATATGACAAAAATACAAATGTCCCTAAAAGCATTATTATTACTGTAGTAGCAGTATTATGACTTCTCTCCAGATTGTCCAAAATTGGCTAAAGAGGGACTCCCGGGGGCTGCCAAACCCTTCCCGGCTGAAGCCACCGGAGAGCCCCGCTGCCACCGGTGTCCTCAGGTGGTTTGTCCCCGCATGGCCCCAGGGTGGCAGGGATGTCCCCTTTGGCAGGAGAAGGAAGGAGAAGCTGGCCACCCTGGGGACTTTTGGGGGAGAGG